CCCTTTTTGAAGATGGGAACCACGTTGGCCCTCTTCCAGTCCTCCAGCACCTCTCCAGAGCACCACGAGTGTTCATAAAGCCGTGCCAGGGGACTTGCAATGACCCCAGCGAGTTCCTTTAGGACTCTAGGGTGAAGATCATCCGGCCCGGCTGACTTAAAAAGGTCCAGCCCCTCCAGAAGCTCCCCAACTAAATCCTCACTCGCCCTAGGCCCAGGTGAGCCTCCCCTGGGGCCCAGGGTCTCATTGTGTTATTTTTCTCTCTCAAAAAAAAATCTTTTGAGCAACTTGGTTAATGCCTTAATTCTTCTGTCTTTTAAATGCCTAGACTAGTGATTTCAGGTATTATTTAAATATACAGTCTAAGAGTATATTAAAATGAAGTGGATTGAAATGTTTGTTGTCATGGGTAATATTTGCAATGACTTAGTTATTATTTTTGTTTGTTTTCTTGCAGCTGATGCAATTAATAATGCAGCAGGGTTTGGTTTTCGAGGCTATGACAAAAATGGAGCAGCATGTTGGGATTTGATATCAAATCTGAGAATCCAGCAGATCGAGGTTTGTTCGTGGTTCTTTCTAAATTTGCGCTTATGTAAACACTTTGTATTGCATTAAGTTGTCTTGAACTTCTCTGTTCTCAGGATAGCAGTGTGTTACAAACCAGAGGTGGTGACAGTTTTTTGGGAAATGGGTGATAAATCACCTCCCTTTGGTGTATGCTGTCTCTGCCCGTTAACTTGTGGAATTTTTGGTGATTTATGAAGTTTCTAAAAGTAGAGTTATAGATGAAGGAATAAGAGATGGTTCATAATGGAGTGGTTGAGCAAATTCTAGAGTCTTTATCCAGTTCATTCCCAAAGAATCTTTTATTGTTCATAATTCTGAAATACTGCATGAATTTATACTTTGGAAAAATAATTAATATGTTTGGGTTTTACAGTTTGCAACAAGTTTCAAGATGTTTCTTGATAACTGGAATATTCAAACAGCTCTTTGGCTTAAAAGGTACTGTATTTCTTATAGGAAAGCTTTTCTGTTTAAAAAAAAAAAATCCTTTAAAATAAGAAATTTATTCAATGCTTGGTTAGAAATCCAAAAATAACAATGTTGGTGCTAAATGGGCTGAGTTCTAGCTTGCAGGCATGTTGGGGAACACTTTGGGGGGCTCAGTGTGAGCATTCTTTGCTACAAATAGTTGTAAATAATTTTGTAACGAGGCCATCTAAAAGTCCTCTTCACCCGAGGGGAGATGGCAATCTTGGGCTGGCAGCAGACCATGGAGACTGCTCCCTGGTTGGTTCCTCAAGTTAATACTACAGTTTTGTAACAGCTTTTTATTGTAAATGTAGCTGACTGTGCTAGAGGAGAAGGAGTGAGGGTCTGAGAGAACTGGGAAGAGAAAGGGCTGTTCCAGAGAAGACAGGGAGCTGTCCCAAGGAGGACAAAGTGGAGTGAGAAAGAAGTAGTCCCAGAGAGGACAGAGCGGGTTCCTAGTGAGGACAGGGGGAACTGTGATGGAAGATTAAAGGTGCTTGATTTGAAGCAAGTCTATTGTGCTGTTTGGCATGTTGGCACTATGAACCTCCTCCTGCTTTGAAAAGGAGAACTCATGCTTCCCAGAAGCTGACCAGAGAAGAAACTCTGAGAAGAGGTTGCTACAGCTTTCTGGGGAAGCCAGGATCTTGAGCCAGAGGCTTGTCCCTTGAAGTCATGCCAGGGCTGGCTTCAGGGACCCTATAGGAGAGGGAGACCACACAAGGCTGCTTCTTGGGGAGTCCTGAGGCAGAGCTTCCCCTCAACTGACATGATCTGCGACACGTAAAACAATTATCAGATTCAATTAGAGTGTTGCTCTTCTTGGATAGTGCTTTGTTAAATCATGGAGCTGAGTTAACAATGACCTTACTGCATGAAATAAAAAACAACAACCCATAACCATATATGCTGTTGATCTTGAAAATAAAACATTATGCAAACGGGGGACCTAGAAGTATTCATTTGTGGAGGAATCTTTTTTATTTTCAAGTTTCCAAGTAGGAGATGATGTACCCTATGACAGGTATAATCAGCCCAGATCTGCCTCTCTGACTGCTGGCCTGCACAAAATCTGTATTGCCACAGAAACTTCCCGTCTTGCCTCCTGTTGACTGCATTGCAAGCAGAAGTTGTACAAGAGTGTTCAGTATTTTCCGTACTCACTTTTTGTGGATAATGCAGAGATGAGAGAGTGCCTAAAGAATTAGTGTCTCTGACTGTTCCTATCCCAGTGTTTGCATGGTGGATAATAGAGCCAAATGGAATGTCCCACCTCTACAGGTGGCTAGAAGGTAACCTAGTCCATTCCCTTCCTCTGAGGCAGGATCAAGTGTATCTATCCATCTCTGACGTGTGTTTGCCTAACCCAGAACTATTCAACTTCAGAGTGGCTGAGGCCCCCACCATTCAGTGCCCTCTTCCTGTGTGGGGGCCTCGGGCCCTGTCGCCATACTGTCCCACCCCACCCCATCCCACCCCCACAGAGGCAAAAAACAGAAGTCTGGGGAGGGATCGGTAACTTTGAGACCTTGGTTGCTGCTGAAATAGTGGGGAAGTGGTATATGGGCAAGAGCCTATGGACCACAAACTAACCCCTTATTACCTGCTTGAGGCTCACCAGGTTCAATTTGGGCAGCTCTGGTCTAACTTCTTTATTTTTAAAATCCTCCCCACAATGGAAATCCTACATTTTCCAAGTTAACCCATTCCAGTGCTTAACTGTCCTTACAGTGTGTTGGTTAGTTTTCTTAATATATAACTCTAATCTCGAGTTACAAATTAGCAGATTACCTTTTGGATTACCTCGGATAGATATAGAAAACTGTGGACCTATCTAGAGAAAGTGTCTGGAGGAGAAGGATATGACGATATTAGAATTATATAAAAGATGGTTATAAAGAGAACTAGGGATGTAAATATCATTCACTTATTCACTTAGGCTCCTCTAATTTATATCAGTTAAGCAGTTAACCGATAACACAGCAGCTCCAGGGGCCCTTTGGGGGTCGTGGGGGAGGAAGAGGCGATGGCAAGCCCAGCCAGACAACACTGCTGTTTTCCTCTTGGGCTGTGGGTACGTGTCTCCCTGCTCCTCCCCACTTGCTCCTTCCTTCTTACTGCCCTCTGGTTCCTGCTGGACCACTGCGCAGCTTCCCTTCCCCCCCCACCCTGCCTTCACTGGCAGGCCCCAAGCTAAACAGTAACTGGTAAGCTAACCAGTTATTACTGGGCTTACCAGTTCAGTGATTAACCGTTTAACCTTTCACATCCCTAAAGAGAACCATGGCCAATTATTTTCCATGGATACTTGTGGGATGGAGCAGAAAGAATCGATGGATGTTTTGCGATGCTATGGAATCTTCTACACGTGGAACTTTTAAGCAGAAGTTTGACAGGCCTGCCAAGAGCGGTCTAGCATGTACACTTGATCCTCTGTCAGTCTGGGGATGGACTAGACCAGGGGTTGTCAACTGGGGGTATGTGAGAAGGCCCTAGGGGGTATGTGCAGGTGGGCAGGGATGGAGTGCCACCAGCTTGTGCTGCCCCCTCCCAAGAGCAGGGCTGGGGGGCGGGAGGGGCGCAAGGGCAGCAGTGCCCCTCTGAGGGCTGCACAGGTGCAACCCAGCTGGCTGGATGTGGGATGGGGGGAGCTTGTACACGGCCACTACCCACCACTCCACGCTGCTCTCTGCTGCTGTTCTGCATCCAGCTGCATGCCACCCCGACACCCCCCCCGCCCCCCCCCGCTCCCAGGGGGAACCTTTTTAAAAAAGGTTGAAAACCCCTGGACTAGACCAGTTGCCTGTGTTTCCCCTCATTAGAGGGGCCAGTATCTGCAAGGACAGTGAATATAAGTGGCTTGAGCTGTCTAGGGGGCAGAGGTTTGTGGCCTGTGGCAGAGGGTCAGGTTGTAAATTCTGGCCTGTGCAGGCAAAAAGTAGATTTCATAGATTTCATAGACATTTGGGCTGGAAGGGACCCCGGAGGATCATTGAGTCCAGGCCCCCGCCCCAGGGGCAGGAAGTCAGCAGGGATCGTAGGATCATAAGATAACCATCCAAATGTGTTTTGAAGGCGTTCAAAGTGGGTGCATGAACTGCCTCAGGTGGCAGTCTGTTCCAAACCTTGGGGTCTCGGACAGTGAAGAAGTTCTTTCTTATGTCCAGCCTAAATCGGTCACAGTGGAGTTTGTGACCGTTCGATCTTGTCATCCCTTGGGGGGCTCTGGTGAACAGTTGTTCCCCCAGATCCTGATAAACTTATAGGTGGCCACCAGATCACCCCAAGCCTGCGCTTTTCCTGGCTGAATAGCCCCATTTTAGCTCTAGTGTTCCCTGATTTTGTATTTACTATTCTCTTCATAAGAAATGTTGGCGTATTGGGAGACTGTTCTTATGTTCTCCTCTTCAGGCTTTTCTTTTTGTAGAGAAAACAAACGTAGTTCTTTACTTTCATAGGTCTGACTTTTCTTCTTTTATTTTTATTGTTCTCTTCTGACTTTCTTCCAGCTTGGCTACATGTTAACATGTGGTGCTCTAAACTGAGCATACTTGCTAAGGCATCATCAGTGTAAAGTAGAGTAGAATAATTATCTTCTGTTACTGTATTCCATGGAGAAACTTGCTTTTATTTTTTCTCCAGCAGCATCATAATGTTAATTCGTATTAAATTTATGGGTCACTCCTAATACTCAGATTCTCTTCTGCAGTACTGCTCCCCAAACAATCATTCCCCATTTTGGTCCAGTGCATTTCATTTGCCCCCCTCCCCTCTCTCAAGTGGGTGCCTTATTTTTTTTTAACCTCATCTTAATAATTCTGGACCATTTCTTCAGCTTGACAAGAATCATTTTGCATTCTAATCCTGTTCTCTAAAGTGCTTGCAACTTTTGCCACCTTGGTTCCATCTGCTGATTTTATAAGGGCATTCTTGATTCCATCATCCAAGTTTTGAATGAGACTGTTGAACAGAACCAGACCCAAAGCAGGCCCCTGCAAGACAGGTTGATAGGTCTTCCTCATTTAAGACTGAACCATTTATAATCACTCTTCTGAGGACTGTTTTTCTGTTAGTTGTGCTCTTACTCACTGTGATTTTAAACTAGACCATATTACCTTAGTTGGCTTATAGGAATGTTGTGAAACAGTGTCAAAGCCCATACTTGTCAAGATCCTTCTTCAGTATCCCAGTTACCTTATCAACAAAGAAAATTATAGATTGGTTGGCAGGACACATCCTGCTGTCTTTTTAACTGTTAGGTCCTTACAAATGTGATTAATTTGATGTAGTTTCTTTCCAGTTATCAAAGTTGGGCTGACTGGTCTGTAATGTACAGGCTGATTTTTCTTTTTACTGTTTATAGCAATAAATACTATATTTGCTCTTCTGCAATCTTCTGTGATAACTGCTAATGATGCAGAGATTGCACTGCTTTGTTCCTTAACTATTCCAGGGTAAATTTAATCAGGCTCTGACTTGAATACTCTTAGTTAAATATTCTTTACTCTGCTTTTTCTTGTGGTTGTTTTAATTGTGGGCCCAATTAACCTGGCTGAAGCAAAAAGTCATTGAACTTTTCAGCCTTCCATGTGTCATCCTTCATTTCTTCACCTTTCCTGTTTAAATAATAGACATGTAGTTTTTAATTTTTTTCCCTTTCTTTCCTTCTAATGTAATTTTCTAGAAACTTTTCTGCTACATCTTGCTAAGCAGAACACTTCATGTCTTAGTTTTTCTGATTTGACCTTATGTTTGTACTTCTGCTGAGCAGTACATCCCTCTTTCCTGTTTAATTTTATATCCTATATAAGAACTGCTCTACCCATATCATTCTTTTACTATGTTTCATATCATTCCTCCAAATCAGGATAACTTACTGTTTTATCTTTTAATAGTATTTTTATCTTTTAATAGTATTTTGTTTAGAGACTGCTAGCTTTCTTGTTAATGAGATTGACAGCTTTCTTGAACTCTTTTTTTTCCCTCTAGAATTCCTTCCAATGGGACCATGACTACTAATTTCTTGAGTTCAGATTCTATATTTTTAAGTTAATTGCTGCTGTTCTTGTGCTTGTTTTTTTTTCCTTCCTTAGAACCATCAATTCTATTGTTTAACGATCACTTTCAACCAATTGCCTTCCACCTTCTTCTCATTCAGTTAGAAATGAATCCAAAATCATTCCTCCCACAGTTTTAACTTTAGTTTCTGAAATAGAAAATATCTCCAATTCATTCTCAGAACTTCTTGGATAGTTTGTGAATTATGTTTATTATGATTATTTTTAATAGACATCTGGATAGTTAAAGCCTGTCTTTATTGCTCACATCCAGTCCTTTGGATACTTCTGTATATTGCCACTATAAACAGTATGCTTGGTAACAAAGATCTTTACACTGAAAACTTGTATCAAAGCTCTTAGTAAATGTCCAGCATTTTTTGTAAATCATGATACAATAGTAATACTATATAGGTCCAAGATTTAAGAGAATTATGTAATGACATAGGGTTAAATTGCTATTATTTCAAGGGTTTAAATATTTATTGGCACTGTTTTGGTTAGCTGCTTTCTCTAATATCCTTTTTTAATTTTTTTTGGTTGCTAGAGTATGTTATGAGCGAGTGACCTTCAGTCCTACAATCCAAACTTTCATCCTTTCAGCCATTTGGCATGGTGTGTATCCAGGATATTATTTATCATTTCTAACAGGAGTGCTGGTGACACTAGCAGCACGAGCCGTAAGTACCAACCACGCTTTTTAACTAGTATGTAGTTCTTTTATAGCCAAGAGACTCTGCTGTAGTGCACAAAAGTGTGCTTCAAAGGACAGAGTGGAAGACAATCTTCACACAAGGAGTTATCTATTTTTTTAGATGTGGCAGAATGGTTAGGAACAGATGGGCAATAAAAATAGAGCTAGGACTCAATGTGTGTTTTAGAGCACATCTTTCATGTGAAGTTCAGGTTGTCCTAACTCTTTCTGATAAAATATTTGTTTTGCCACCTAGCTCAGGTGTAAAGTTTATCTTGAAATGTTCACATGTTACTGATGGGCATAAAGCTGTCCTGAGGATTTTGGTGGTCTAAGCTATCAATTTCTGGAGAATTTTGAAGCAAATTTCAATCTGATACTGTCCAAAAAATGTTAACTACAGCAGTGTTATTTTGTCTCAGCCAGAAAATAGCTTCAGTGAGTTTTCTTCTCAAATGACTGCCAAGCAGCAGCAGAATAACTTTACAAGCTTTTGACCAGTTTCATTGATGCTATTCAGAGTCTGTAAATCCAGAGAAACAAAGCTGTCAAAATACTGTCAGTCTTTCAACACTGCTTTGGGAAACTTTCATTAGAAACAGATGCTGGTATTAGAGTTATCCAAAGGAAGAAAATGATCCCAAAAATAGAGGTGGTACTAGGGGAGAGTTTCCCATTAGAACAGCAAGGAAGCTGTAAGTGAAGGGAATGATAGTATGCGAAAGCCCTGCATACCTTTTGACAGGCAGTCTAAGAGGGAGTTTCAAGACTGATCAGTTAATAATGAAATACATTGTATTTTGATTCCATGCATCTCAAACCACTGTATAAAGATTGGCAAGATCCCTGTTGTAAAGTAATAGTCTTTCCTTACAACACCCCTGAGCCTCTGGAGATGAATATACAAAAAACTCTTTGTAGCCCCTAGGAAGGTTGGGCTCACATCTCAGCTACAGTTTGATGCAAATGGTACAGTCCTAAATACATGTGCCAGAGCGTGGTACACGAAGGCATTTTGCTTGGCTTGCATGCCTCGGGGAAGATGGCAAGGGATCCAAAAGGGACCCAATCCTTGTTGTGGCAGCGCAGCCCAAGCCCCTTCCCTGCTGTCCAACTCGAGGTATGAGTGCACCTGCCACTGGCAACAAGCTGGGCCAGGACTCCATGGACCCTGGTGCAGTTGCATGCATCCTCCCTGCCACCTGCTACAAGCATCCCAGGCTCTGTGTGAGCATCTATACCTTGGGGTGGATGGCAGGGAATGGGCCAGGGCTTCCCTGGCACAACAAGGATCAGGCCCCTTCCGGCTCCCTTACTGTCTGCCCGGGCACACCAACATCTTACAAGTTGAGGTTGCGATGTTTTTGACACTCTACCAAAAAATGTTGCTGACCCCTGATCCAGACTGTTCCCTAACAAAGAATTGGCGCACTCTGTCCTCTTCTCAGCAACAGAGGGGGCTTTCCCATATTACAAATCTTCTGGCTGCCAGCATCTACCCGTGCCAGGTGCCACATGGCTTCTTGGGAGCTCCACACAGCTTCATTAGCACAGCTGTGCCAGCAGGATGCACAATAATTGTTATTCAACAGCTGTCAGAAAATATGAATGCATCTACATGGGCTTTCTGGCAGCTTCCTAAAGGAAGCAGAAGCCTTTTGCTTGCACAGCTGGTGTTGCTCTGCTGATAGAAAAAGGGACTGGAGGAGCCGTGAGTATGGTTGCACTTTTTTGGCAGCAGAACTGCATAGTGGTGACCTAGTCAGGGTTCCAGTAAGCTGAGTTTCTTCTTAGAATGTTGTCTGGAGGCTTTGGTACTGGGATGCTTCTTACCTATATTTCATATTTATCTCTACTAGCGTGTATAGTTCTTTATTTATCGGGATTGAGTTATATACAGAACTTTATTATTATTATTATTATTATTAATTGACTATCTAGAACAGGCTAAGGTCTATTTTTTCATGGTGTTCATTTGCATTTACCCGTCCTTTTTAGGTTTGCAAAGATAAGGTTCTCCGAACTCCACCTTTCCCCTCCTGCCATACCTCAGCCTCCATTTGGAACATAATATAAGAATTGTTTTGCTGGGTCAGACCAAAGGTACATCTAGTTTCTGACAGCGGCAAGTAAGAAGTTAGATCAGGGCTGTCCAACTTAAGCAGCTAGGGGCCACATGCCCTGTGGCCACAAGGATCCCTCTCCCCCATTGCGTGGCAGCCCCCCTGCAGCACTCCAGTCACCCTGCATGGATGCTCTACTCGCCCTACCTTGCATCTTCTTTCCACTGCTGCACCACATGGCCCTGGCCTCACCCTGAGTGCCCTGTGCCCTGGAGTGGGCGCAGAACATAGAAGCCAAAAGAGGGAGGGGGAAGCCCAGAGACTCTGGCTGCTGTTGCGGCTGGAGTGATAGGTGGAGCTGCGGCCAGATGGGAACCTGGGGGCTGCAACTTAATGTGGCCTATTGACCACCAGTTGGACAGCCCTGCTTTAGATGAAGAGTGTTAGAAACCAAGTATATGTTGTATGATCCATTCCCTATCATACTCACCCAGTCACCAGTAGGTTACATCCCTAATTCTGCTGATTTCATTCATTAACCATTTAATGTTTCATAAATAGATCCTTATTAGTGTCACTCACTGATTTAAAATTTGATCCTTCCGTGCTTAAATAATGTAGTTTTCTGCACAAATCTCTGAAACTCAAGACAGTTTGGTGGGTGTGAATTTAAGAAAAAGCATGTTGAAATGTTACTTTGAACAGAGCTGCCATTTTATGAGACTTAAAACTTGACTTGTTTAACTCAGAAACAGAAGCTGAGAGGGGATGTGACTGCTTGTCTTGTGCATAGATCAGGGGAGATAAACACCAGGGATCTAGAAGAGTTATTTAAGCTAAAGGACAGTGTTTGCACAAGAGTAGGCAGGAATAAATTTGTCATGAATCATATTGATTTGGAAATAAGGGGCGCCGATACACATGCAGTGAGGCTGCTCCAATGTCCTGTAACTACAGTGCGTCAGAACAGACTCAATTATCTCGCTCCAGCATCGTATGTATCAGTGTCCCTGTACTGAAAAATGGTGGTGGGGGTTCTTTAACTGACTGTGGCATCGATGCCTACACAGTCAGATGGACTGCAGATTGGCTGAGGGGTCGCACTCAGAGGGTGGTGGTGGATGGGTCATATTCGACCTGGGGCGAGGTGGGTAGCGGAGTCCCCCAGGGCTCGGTCCTGGGGCCTGCGCTGTTCAATTTCTTCATCAGCGATCTGGATGAAGGGGTGGAAAGTAACCTGTTTAAATTCGCTGATGACACCAAAATCTGGGGGGAGGTGAGCACGCTAGCAGGGAGCGAGAGATTGCAGAGGGATCTGGATAGGTTACAGGGGTGGGCTAACAGGAACAGGATGCGTTTTAACACGGACAAGTGCAGGGTGCTGCACTTGGGCAGTAGGAACCAGCAGCACACTTATACAATGGGGAACTCCTTACTCGAGAGCACGGAGGCAGAAAGGGATCTTGGAGTCATTATTGACTCCAAGATGAACATGGGCCGACAATGCGAGGTCATGGTTGGCAAGGCTAACCGGACCTTGTCGTGCATCCACAGGTGCATCTCGAGTAGAGCCAAAGAGGTGATCCTCCCCCTCTATGCGACACTGGTCAGGCCACAGCTGGAGTATTGTGTCCAGTTCTGTGCGCCCCAGTTCAAGAGGGATGTGGACAATATGGAGAGGGTCCAGAGGAGGGCCACCCGCATGATCCAGGGACAACAGGGCAGACTCTACAGTGAGAGACTGCGGGACCTGAACCTATTCAGCCTCCACAAGAGAAGGCTAAGGGGGGACCTGGTGACTGTCTATAGACTCACTAGGGGGGACCAGAGGGGTTTGGGGGAGACGCTGTTTCCCCTAGCGCCCGCTGGCATAACAAGGAGAAATGGGCACAAGCTGTTGGAGAGGAGGTATAGATTGAACATCCGCAAAAACTACTTCACCGTTAGGGCGGCTAGGAGCTGGAACCAACTTCCAAGGGAAGTGGTGCTGGCCCCTACCCTGGGGGTCTTTAAGAAGAGGCTGGATGCCCACCTAGCTGGACTCGTTTGAGTCCCATTTCTCTTTTTGGGGTTTTTGTTGTTCTCCCGCCCTGGCGGGGGGTCGGGCTAGAAGATCTACTAGGTCTCTTCCGACCCTGAATCTATGAATCTATGAACTAAAGCACCCCCCCCACCATTTTTCAGTGTGGGGATATTGATGCAAGTAACACTCCGGGCACTTCAATTGGAGTGGTGCTTGGAGCCACTCTTAAAAGTGCCCTCCCCTGGAGCATGTCTATAAATGCCCAAGGTTTCTAAACACCAGAGAAGTGTTCTTGAACAGTCTTCCAATAGGAATAGTGAGGGCAAGCATCCAACCAGAGTTAAATTGGAGCTTGAAAAGTTTATGAAAAGGATTTTATAACATGGGTGCCCACCATAGGAAAATGAGCTTGCTGCTGCGAGAGGTCTCATCCAGTCCTGTGTTTCTAGGGCTTGGCAGCTATGACAGTAATACAGCATAATAGTTGCATAGCAGTTTTACAGCCTTCTTAATCCTTTGAAGTAGGGATGTGTTTAATCTCATTTTGGTAGCGACTAAGATGGAAAGCTATATGACTTCTCAAAGTCATGGAGAAGGTAGTATATAAATACTAGCTAATTCCCTGTCAAGAATGATGGAGGAAGAGGGCTGGGATGGAGTGCCGCCACCTAACACCCCATGCTGCTGCCATTCTGCCTTTTGCAAGGAGAAGGGTGGGGGAATCGAGACCAGTGCTGCTGGCCTTGGCTCCCCCATTCTGTCCAGTCCTCGGTGCAGCTTCGGAGTCATGGCAGCACTCCCCCATGCTTGGAGCATGCTGATTGGCTGTTTCCATCAGCCAGTCAGAGGGCGAATAAAGCATTACAGACAGACAGACAGACTTAGGCTTTTATAATATTA